GAAGATAGCATGTTGTAATAGGATTTTGTAATCCTCACATATTTATTGAATGTTTTGTGAAGTTCACAATTCCAAATGCACTTTTTTTTTGGAACTAGATGATCTTTAAGGTCCCTTCTGACCCTAGCCATTCTTGTGAATTTTTTTTAACTTTGCTTTTATATTCTATATTAATTCAATCAAAGCTATTCTCTCTGTTCTTCAGGATACATTCAGCACAGTTTTTTTAGTGAAATCAACAATGTATTTCATTGCATTTTTATTTGCTCCTAGTTTAACCTTGTGGATATTGCTTAGAATAACATGCCAAAATCAGTTTTATAAGTATTATCAGAGCAGCTTCAGACATGGATATTCATGGTTTAGTTTTCTCTTATCTGTTTATTTAGAGACAGTGAATAATGTATGTTGCACTCTTAGAGGATAGAAGGTAGTTTAGGCAGAAGACACTGTGCAAACCCCTACAGTTATAAATCAGATCACATGTGATTTGAAATCTGGTTAAAGCAGGCAAATATTTCAGAGACCATTCAAATGGCACGTGCACAGTGTATATTGCACAGAACTCGGGCCATGAATTACTAATAAATCACATGCAGAACAAAAGCAGCAGCAGCAGCACACTGTCCCACATCACAGCAGGTATGTTGTCTTCATAAAGCTGCTGAAGTTTTGAGGAAAGGCTGCATGAGTTATGCACTTTCTCACCAGCAGTAAGTGCAGTAGGTGCCTCATGAGGAGGTCTGCCTGGTATTTGGGAGAGTGAGAATGCAGTTCTGAAATTGTAAACAGCTGCTGTGCTTTGCTTACCCAGCTTCCTTCATTACAGCTTGGCGAACTCATCCCCGCTGCTGTACCTTAGTCCTCTGTGTCTGCCTGTTTGGGTTTCTGCTGGTGGTTCCACATTCTGCATGCTTTCCTCAGAGTGGAGCAATGTGCTTTCCCATAAGTGCTAAAGGTTATGGGGCAGCCTCCTGCAGGCTCTGTGTTCCTGAGAAATGGGCTCTTTCTGTTGGTGGTAACTCATATTTTGATGTCATTGTTCTGAATTGTTCTTCATGTTGTAGTATTGAGTTAAAATGTACTCCTGTAAGAGTTAGCTTTTCATATTGGGCTGGAAACTCTTCACCTTTGTCTAGCAATTTGTTTTATTATAACCAATGGCTTTTAATTGTACCTCCCATAATGAAGAGCTGACTTAATACTCTGTGCTAATCTTGTTATGACTTTAAAAAGGTAAGTAATTTCTCTAACAATTCCTAACAGTCATGGTAGAGTGTTGAAGGGTTTCTCAGTTTTCTTTTTTCATTATTTTTTCACATTAATTTTTCACTCGTAGCATGAACTTTTCTTTGTGTCTTTTTCTATTTTTCTTGAAAAAAAAAATAGACTGACTATTATTTGCAGCAAAACATATTATGTAAGTTTAAATGAATCCAGTTTAGTACAGCCACTGATTTTGTTTTTCAGACCAATCATGACCAATAGATAGAAGCTGTCAGCAGGACTCTTTATTTTTACCATTCCCTTTATTTATTTTTGGGTACTGTATTTTACATTCTATTTATTACTTCAGCTTATGAGAGAAAGCTTACTCTGCATTCCAGCATGATGAAGTTACATTTTCAAGAACATAATTTCCAGTTTGTTTAAAATACAGAGTAATGTGAACTGAATGCTTTGGGTTTGGTTACATTCTGTCTGAACTGTGCAGGGGAATGGTACTGGCTGGTAGCCCAATGTGTTTTCTGCCAAAATAGATTGTGAGCCAAGAGGCTGTAGAATGGACAAACAATAAGTCTATACTTTCCCTGTGAAAGAAAAGACAGCCATAGGTTGTTATTTCTGTAACTACCTGTGAATGAGAAGAATTACAGTAAATTCTCCTAATAATAATTCTCCCTAGTCAGTCTTGGTACTATATGCAATGTAGCATGGATTCCTCAGTTAACAGTAGCTGTGAAAATAATACAGATTTTTTTGTAAATGACATAAATAACAAAGTAGTAAAACATACAAATAATGAATATTTTAAAAGGCACTTAAAGCACATGACTCAGTTTATAAAAAGCTCCATTGTTGCCAAAATTGTATGTGTTAGGGAACTGGTGGGTTTTATTAAAAATCATTTTACTGTAGGTTTGATTAAAAATAACATTTAGGATAAGAATGTGCAATTCATATTAAACAGAAGTATTATGTAATAATTAATTTTGATGTCAGTTATGTTAAAACTTGGTTTGTATTCTGCAGCTGTGAGCATAGGTTGGGAAACGATCAAGTGTAGCTAATCAAGCCTTTTATTTTATTATCATGGATTCGTCTTCCACAGCTGCTTTTAAAATTTGTGGGAAGCAAATTATTTCTCATACTGCATATGTTGCCCATCAGGTGAGTGATAACATGGAAACTTTAGGCTGGGTATAAGAAATCAAAAAGTAAATATGAAGTCCTCTGTGTGCACAGAATTAAAAAAATGACCTGTGAGAGGCTGTATGTTAAGCCAGCTGTCTTTTGTTACCATTGTCATTTGGACATTTTAAGAGCAAAACTTTGTCAGCACGTTTTTTATATTAGAAGATTTGATCTGCAAATCTCAGCTGCTCTGTTCATTATAAATCTCTTGTTTTTGTCCATACACTAGCTCCACTATAGGTTGGAAGGGCTTAAAGATGAACTGAGGAGGAATAGAGGCTACAACTCGAGAGTAACTATTCTGCTCAAAGGAGCTGTTTTCCATTCGCAAACATTGCTTTGCGCTATGGGTTTGGGCTCCTTCTGTTCCTCCACTTTGTTGAAAGACTCTCTCTTGACTTCCATTTTACTTCTTTAGCACTGTCTTTGTCTGCTAACATTTTTCCTCCTTCTCTAGTAGCTTTTATCTGTGTCCTTTGGATCACATATTTTACTTAGTTTGTTTCAGTAGATTGTTTCAAATGTTTGTGTTCTGTATTTTTGGTTTTTTGCTTTTTTCTTTAGGACTATGTTATCTCACTGAATTTCATTCCACAGTTGCTGAATCGCTTGGTTATTTTGCAGCAGGTCCATTCCTCATTTTCTCTTTTCATGTTTTTCAGTGAGAAATAAGAGAGCCTCTTCCATTTTAAACACTAGTCTTACAACATAGGCCCATGTCTCTTTTTGCATACACCATCTTCTGCCTTGCCACATCCATCCTGCTTCTCTCTCCCTCTCAAACTGTGCTTCTCTTTCTTTTGTGTTTTCTTTCCTGCCATTATACCACATTTTTGGTCCAGAATTGTCCTTTGGTAAATTATAGGTAAATATTTACTTCTTCCAAAGAGAGTTCATTTTATGCCTTTGAAATCTGGTAAAACAACTCTGGGCCAAATTTGGGCATCATTAATATTTTGTTTACAGTTTTCTTGTATAGTATTTTTGGTGGGAAGTGGGGAGGGCGTGGGTTTTTTCTGTTTGTTTTTGTTAAACAAGAGTTTTTTTCAGGGAAGGACTCCATAACCCACTCTAAGTTGCAACATTACTTTCCATAAGTTATTCCATTACAATAAGTAGATTGTGTTGCGCTGTAGAATCCAATTTTTTTATGTGACTATCTATTTGGGGCAAGCTGCTGTGGAACAGAAGAAAGAGGTTTAGAAGCTGGGGCACCATTTCTTTCAGCCTTAAATGGTTCTTCCTTTCTGAAGACGGCTTTTGAGGGCTTGGGGGTTTATCATTCTTCATCAATTGTTAGATAATACATATTCACTTTCTAGGCAATTTTTCTGTGACTGCAAGTCCAGAGTGAGGTCTGAAAGATAATCTGAATTCAATCCTTTGCTTTTGCAGAAAAGACAGATGTTCTGCTGGGAAATTACACTCTCAGCATCACCTGTGCTATTCCACTTCTTTCACAACATGTGCAGACTTTTATTAATATTCTCATTGAAATTTAAAAGACCTTTGTCAATAAAGTAAAAAAGAGAAGGATTCAGTTCTTACTGTCTCAGAGGTTTGTCTTCCTGTGAAGTTTACTTTAGCTGGGGTTTTTGTCCACACAAAATGCTTTCTATTCAAGTGCTGCCAGTTCAGTCCCCTGGCCTGACAGTAGTCCAGCTGAAAACTTGCAACTTCAGGGTTATTACACATGGTGCTATCTTTCCAAACCTGAGAAGAATTAAAGATTTAAACTGTGTTGTGTTTACAGGGCTGATAGTCTTTAAAAAAGAAAACACACAAACAACAATTATTTTTTTAAATCTGCATAGTAAACAGAATTGTAAATATCCAGTGTTATTAGAATATTAGACCAATGTGAATTGTCCAATTTCCCTGTAGTCAGACTAATCTGTCTGGAATAGCACAATGTCCTAAGCATCAAGGAAGAGGGGTTGTTGAGAAACCATGTCATTCTCACACAGTTACTTTTTAAAGTAGAATTCCACTACAAAATTCATAGTGAACATAGCATTTCTTTCAACCAAATAGGAACAGCAGAGTAAATTTATCACCTCCATCCAGGAGCCATTTAGACAGTTGTGTGTTCCTTATACAATTATGAAGAATTCTTATTAAATATCTTCAGAATCAACATAATTGAAACTAAATATTTAAACTCTCAATACCTGAAAATACCAGCAATAGAATTTTAAATCAGGTCATATACTTTTGTCAGTATTCTGTCTAATCATCAAACAGGACCTAGATTCAGAACTCCTGTAATTACAGCTGTATAAGAAAATGTGGATTTTCTGTTGAAAACTGATTCTTAACACATAATTTTAAGAACTGTTCTTTGATTTTACTCATTTACTGTCCTTAGGCCATCTTGTTTCTTATGGGAGGGGTGTGGAATCAAATTGCCTGTATCAGATTCTGACCATCTGCTTAAATATACTTATCTCATGCAAAATATATAAGAATGTTGCTGAAAATATGTATAGCCTCTGTCTTAGATCCCAGGAGCTTGCCCATTATATCTCTGTATTTTGCATTCTTGTTAACTTCTGTAGCTCATAGATTCTGTGCTCTCTCTGCAGGTCCAGTCTAGGTGCAGCAGCAAGGAGAACATCCTCAGAGCAAGTAAGTGCAGAAACTTCTTAGCTCTATTGAGAAACTAGGACTACTCAGAAGATAGTAAATGATAGTCAGATCAGAGATGGGACTAATTTTGCAGCAGAAATTTAGTAACTTAAGACAGTGAAATCCAGACCAAGGATAAAACTGTAAATAGCACATAGTGTTCCTGTATTAATGGAGAGTCACCTTTTAATTTATTCTTCCAAGCTGTATTTCTAATGACATGGAAGTCTGTGTTGTTTGTGATGTTTCGTTGTAAATTATCATGTGTGTGCAGATTTTATGGGCAATAATTAACACTCAAAGACAATGAAAATGGAAATTCTCAACTTGAATATGCATAATTTTTATTTTCATACTTGAACATGAATTTGAATGTTGGATTGCATAGAACCAAACCAAAACATGCAAAGGGTAAGAGTTCACATTTGATCCAAATGATGTCTAGTTTAATTTGCACAATTCTTTTTCTTTGTGTTGTGGGAATCTTTTCTAGTCTAAAATTTGATCCACCATATGTGTGTGTATATATATACATATATATATATAATGACAGAACTAGAAAGTTGTTTTGGTGGTAAAAGAGCAGGTTGTCAAGAATTTTCTACCTTATGCAAGCAATTGAATTAGCTGCTTCAAATCTAGAGGATTATTTTGTCATACCAAAATGCAGCTTAATATAAGTAGTTATTTTTAGAGCTGACATTTCACAGTAGTGAAAGATAACTTGGTAAAGTCTGAGGAGTTATTTAATGTCATTTACTTGTAATTAAAGTACCATTTCGTAGTTTTAAAATTTAAAAAAATCATTTGTTTATCTCTGAGTCTATTTAAATCTGTGATACCTCTAGTAGAAGTGTTAGCATTTGTAGAGAGAAAGGTTAGTAGTTACACCAGCATCTTTCTTCCTTTCTTCATTAGGGTTATTCATGCTAGTGTTAAACCTAAAGGGGCTCTATTTTCTTGACTTTTCTTGCAGAAATAATAGGTGTTACTTTTGGTGTTGGAAAAAATATGTCAGAGATTAGGAAATTTTATCTATTTTCAAGAAGTCTATTTTGGAGAATGCATTTCTCAGAAGATTTTAACAGTACCTTTGACTCAAGCAAATGACATGCATTAGGGAGCATTAGGGACAGACTTGCAAATCTGAAGGTTGTTCTCTGAGGAGCAGTCAAAGCATTAAAAACCTGTGGATTCTATCACTTTTTAAGGTTTCAAGAGGTGAAATGTGAGTTTCTGAAGTAGCTAACAATGAGTTTTAAGTAGCAGTGAAATTACAGCTAGAAGCAGTAAAAGCATCTAGTGGCAAGAGCATAAGGGTTGTTCACTGCCTCACAATTCCCTCAGCTTTCATTGCTGTGACATGTTTTTTCTTAACATTTTCCTAAATATTTTCCAACTTAAAACATCAGGAAAATGTTTTTAGTATATACTGTGTGGAATCTGCTGGACCTTCAGGAATTACAGTGCTACTAAAACAGGGTTTCTTTCTCTAGCATAGGCGGGTATGGGAAATCTGACTGTATTTCACAAATGCTTTCCTTTTCCTCATTAATGATATTGTCAACAAAAAACAGGCATGATAACTGGAAATTTGAACTTGCCAGGGAGATCCCTGTTGTTAAAACCAGGAACGCAATTTTTCCATGCTACACTTTTATCTTACAATAGTTTAATTTGGATCATTTGTCCCTGGTTTTCTTATGAGGAAGTTAGGTTTAAGAGTTTGTGAAGTCTTAATATAGTTAGAAAGTGTCTCATCAGCTGTTTCTCTCTTCCTCAGAATGCTAACTGCTATTTTAAGGAAAACAAGACAATTTAAAATTATTTGTGCTTGACAAATTTACAGTGCTGCTTTTTTCATTATGCTATCTTCTAAATACGTACAAAGAGATTGTTCAAATAATTTCTTCCAGAATCATTCTTGGAAGAATTAGGTGGGCAGTTTTACTTGTCTCTGCTTCTTCCTCTGACAGGTAGCTACTGTGTTAATAGCAAAAAATAATTAGTGAACAATCTCTCACATAAAAATGTAAGCATGTGTTAGTGCTGAACATGTATTGTATATATAGATTAATTAAGAAACCTCTTCTGAAAGAAGGATTTAGACTGTGTGATTGTTGTGCTATTTTTTACTTGCTTTTTATTAGATGACTACACTTGAAGCAATAATATTTTTTTTCAGAATCTGAAGGCATGTGCAGTAACAAATGAGATATTTATGTAGTGACTGCAAAGCAAAATCATGTCATTAAAAAATAGTTTCTATTATTTAATGCTTACTGTACTGTAGTGTATGTTACTTAGGAATATCATTACATGTCATATATAGAACTTCATCCACTTTGGCTCTCATAACTATCTTCTTGTTCTACGTAAATCCTTTCAAGATATTCTGCAATTGTAATTGTCTGAATCTTTCAGTTTGTCTGTTGCTCTTGTTTATGTATTCCTGCAACAGTTCTCTCTTCAGTAGCTTATCTTCACTTGCAAAATCCTTCAAAGTTTGTTGTCCCCTTGTTTAATCTCTCAGTAAGTATCATGAAATCAAACACACTGTTGATTTTATTTTCAAACAACTTCTGTCATATTTTCTTCCTACCCGTCCCTCACACTTGGGAAAAGCAAGCTTTCCTTAAGTTGTCCTACTGCCTTCACTGAAATCATGCATTTAAACAACACTTTACTATGGTGACAACAAAATCTTGACAATGGGTAGGATGCCCACTAGCTGGAGACACTGTCTGCAAGCTTGGCTGCCCAGTGATTTCATTGTGCTCTCTCTATCTTCCTTTCAAACCTTTGGACTCCCATCTCACTCTTGGATTGTAGGGCTCACTGGCACAGTGTCCATTGTTGCGTTTCATCTGTGCACAGCACAGAGCATGTTGAGATGTGTTTGTGCAGAATAGAATGGAGTGAATTGTCCTGAATTCATAGAAGTGAATTAGTCTCAGATTATCATCCTCAATGTAAAATACTGCATTACCTGAAAGGGTTTCTGTTGTAGCTTAACCAATCTTTTCATGCTCATCAAGACTTCTGGTATGTTCTTCACTACCGATAAGGATATGCACTCCCTTGATTCTAGTTGAATACAGTGTCCTCCCAGTGTCAGACATGAAAGCTCAATAGGGATAACTAACTAATTTAATTTGCTCCAAAGTGCTGATGAGTTTCAGTGAAATGGTTTAAATGAACATCCCTACACGAATGTGCTCACCGTAGCACACATGAATTTGTTCTTTCTCATTGCAGGTCACAGTGCTGTTGACATCACCAAGGTAGCAAGAAGACATCGCATGTCTCCATTCCCATTGACATCTATGGACAAGGCCTTCATCACAGTTCTGGAGATGACCCCAGTGCTTGGAACAGAAATCATCAATTACAGAGGTATATTAAATTGGATTCTTTGTGAGCCTGAGTGTGATTTCTTCCCTATTTGGCAACCTTCTTGATCTTTTTTTAATGTTGTGAGGTGTCTGAAACAGTGCTTTCTCCAGCAGTTTCTACTGCTTTAGTCATAGAGTATAAGGAATCCGTAATGGAATGCTAATAAAATACATGAATTAATTTTCTTCATGTATGTATTATGTGCAGCAAACATATTCTACTCAACCTGAATGTGCCTCAGTGGACTTTTCTAGATGCCAAGTAGCTGCAAACTGTACTGTGATTGGTTCCCTGCATTGCCTTACTGTGGAAGATTCTCACTAAACCCCATTCCCATCTGAGTTTAATGATCAAAACAAAGTGATTATTGATTCCAGATCACTTTTTTCCATGTCTGTATCTTTAACAGTTTATCTCAGTCTCTTTTTCCAGTTTCTAGTTAGCCTACTAATCATTCCAGAATTTTCCTCTTTGTCTTATAAATGCAATTCAAAGTTTTCATGCTCTTTGCCAAATCTTTGTGCTACCAGAAGCCTTCAAGATGTCTTTATATTGACTTACCTGTGCATTCAGTGACTCTAAGCAGAGTTCAGTGCTCTCCTATGCCTTGGCAGCAGGATTCTGAGAAAATGCTCCATGTCCTGCATTCAGAACAGCACCAATACTGGATCAACAAGGAATATGCATAATACACCCTGAACTTTCATAATGGTGTGCAGATTAGAAGGCACTAAGGCATAAATGCCTTAGCATAACTATTGAGCCTTTTTGAGTAGCTGTCAGTTAAATGTATTTTCTAAGACAGCCCTTTGTGAAGGGAGCTCCAGTGTTGAGTACATTTAGTCCACATAAATGCTTTGTATGCAACCCTGAACTTCTGAAATAAAGGATGAAAGACTGGCATCTGCCTCCCTGATCAGCGCATCGTATATTTATTTTGGTAAGTCAGATACAGTTATGGTACTGTAGGGTTATTATTCTTCTTTGAATAAAAGAAGTTTTGATCCTAAGTCCAGAATGTATGCATTATTATTCCTGGCACTCTTATTCTTTCAAATGTAAGGAACTGAGTCTGCTGAATCACTGTAGTTTTGACCCTCTTCCCTCTCACCCAAAACACAAGCATTAGATGGATGGTAACATTAGCAGGTTCAGAGACAGATTTTTGATTTAATGTTCACATAATTTTACCAAAAATTCCTTCATATTTTTGCACTGTAGTGCAAAATTTTATCTTGCAATTTATTTTTCAAGTAATATACACTTAATTTAGCACTATGTTTTCCAAATACATAGTTTTAAATTTCAGGATTGAGCTTATAAGAGAAAGCCTAAAGGACATGTCTGTGTCTGTGATACTGCAAATTCAATTCTCTTAATCTACAGATACAAATCTCAAGATGGAAATAGATTTTCAGAAGTTCTTAAATGATCACAATAATGTTATACAGACAAATACATAGAATTGTTTCGTATAGATGTGCCTGCATGTGTGTGTCCATGGGCACACACTTAGGTGTTGGATAAAAGATGTTAATTTTGAAGAAAGCAATGAATCAAGAACCAGTTTTTCAATTAGTTATGGGTTCATTTTTTTTGTTAATATACATCAAATTTCAGAAAATTGCAAAAATTTAGTTCTTCGGATCTGAAACTGTATTTAGAAAAGCCCTATTGTGCTGTGTTTGGTTTTTTTGTGATTTTGTGTCTTGAATTACAAGTGAGCTTCAGAAAACTATCTTTCAGGAGCACAGTTTCTCACCAAGGAAAATGAAATGTGCAAAATTCTAGGAGTGCTAATTTACTAATTAATTTAACCTGATTTAGTTAAAACTAAACATATTTCATATCATTCATATTCGTGAATAAAGCTACTGAATGTTATTCTGTACAAATACCCAGTGCAGTCTTGATATTATTCTTGCTTAGTCAAGGTATGCTGTAGTCTCACAGATCTACCTCTTCTCTCCTAACATAAGGGAGAGGATTATTAAAGTTATCTTTTGAAACAGGACTTTCACGCTGGTGTCTTGCTCAGTAACCATATAGATAATTTAACCTTTTTCATATTTTAAAAAAATATGACTGTCCTAAAGCATTTTATGGAAGTGTCATAAACCCAAGGCATCTGAAGCATATTTCTCACCTGCCATCATCAGTATCTGGTATGAAACCCCCAATTAGGCTTTTATTCCAAATAAATGCAGTTACCTGAGTATAGCTCTGTAGGCACATAAGGTTAAGTTTTTAGACAACATGATTATGATTATTCTTCTGAAACTAAGAAGATACAGAAGTTTAACTGATAATAAAATTATAATGTAGAAGCAATCTACATTTTATGAGCCAGAGAGCAGCGCATTTATTCTTGCCTAGTCCAAGAGCCTAACTCATTGATTTGGTAGCATTGACTTTTCATATTACACTGAGGTGCTACCAGGGCAGTATTTACAAAATCCATCACTCCCTAGGACAAGATGTCTTATTGCTGTGCCCCAGAGATATCAAAGTTCTTCACGGTACTGTACCGGTTCACCATCCAAGCTTAGCAAATACCCACATTTGAAAAGTGAGTTTAATGTAATTCTCCATTTTATATCAGAAAGCTATGAGCATCACAAGGGGCAGTTTGATGACATTAAAATAATTCAGAACATCTTTCTGAATTACAATTAATCAAAATAGGGTCAAACTGTATTTTTAGGATGTTTTCTTAAAAGAGAGTGCAGAGGTACTCAAGATTATCCTCTAGTTGCTGACTTGCTTCATTTTAAATGCCTAAGGCTGCTTCAGCAAATAATTCTTACATTTTTCTTCTTGTAATGAAACTCATTCCCATTACTGGCTAGCCATTTATTCCTTTCAAATATTGCATGGCAGTATGCCAAGAACATACTGTTCAACTTTGCTCTAATTGGTGTGATTTTGCATGCAGACAAGAAGCAAAATGAAGGCACAACATGCCTGCTAAAATTGGAAGTATCACTTTTGTATGAGATTTCGTGCATCTATGAACAACGGGTGTTTTTACTAGGCCTTTGATAGCTGCCTTTTCTGTGCTATAATTTAAATGTCTGTGTCTGCATTCTTTTACTCAGTATAAGTGTACAAGCTTCTGTGAGCTTTCTAGTAACTTCTGTATTGTGTATCACAGGCACTGATATGCAGGTTTACACAGGTGAATTAATGGCCATTACAAAAGTGCTTTTCTAGTTCCTTTAACAGGTTTCAGCAGCAATACAATTTTCATGGCAATATTTATTTCAGCCATGCAGCATGAATAGTAACTTCAGACTGAAAGTTGATACATATGAATGTGAGCACAATGTTGTTATAGTTACAATAATTAATTGTTAACTAAATCCATTTGTGTTAACAAGTAAAATACAATCGTCATTATAATGCCACTTCACTGGAGCTGAAATCAAGTAGGTGAACTTGTTTAACAAAACCTGCCCATTTAGTGTGCAGCAGTAGCTCTTTTGCCTTCCTGGTTGATCTGGAACCATGCAGATTTCCCTGTAAAATACAAAATATGCAGATTTGTCTGTAAAATACAAAACAAATTTTATGCACTTGTCTTTTTTTGGCATGTCTCAAAGACCATAGTCTCTAAAGCACATATCCATGCAAATTCTCCTGGCAGGAATAATCATGCATCCTCTCACTCCATCATACTTTCAGCTGGATATTGCCTCCTAGTGCCACAATGCAGCCTAGGAGCACTGGCCTCTATTATGAGCAGGACTTCCCTTCTTTTCCTTAGACACACCAGAATCAAGCCAGTCTCAGTAGTTCTGACACATGTGTCCCTTCCCAGTACATCTAATCACACATGTAATAAATCTGCTTTCTCTCTCACACTATATCAAGGGCCAAGTTACATATTTTCCACCTCATTCCATATCATACTAAAAAAATAAAGCTCTTGCTGGTGCCATAAAAGTACCAGCCACTTGACTGAGGGTGAAGTAATTCATGTCAGTCTCTATAGGGAGACTGGTCCAAATTACAGCTCATCACTCCTAGTTGCTAAGTGAAGAAAAAGAGTATGTTTGAAACAGCTATTAAAATATTTAAAACTAAAACACTGTAAATTTATATAAATAATTCTGCCACTTATGTGCACTCACTCTCCGTTAAGCAGAAACGCTCTCAGCAATTAGGTGAAGCTGATCTATTGCAACTTATTCTTTGTCAACTTATGAAAACTGGTCCATTGTTAATGTTCTCAATTCATCACCACTCAACTTCTGTGTATAAGATTCACTTTTGAAATGTAATTTTACAAGTTTTTAAAAAAGGAATTTAATAAAAAGTCAAAGTAAAATAAAGAAGAGATCTTAGAGGAAAAATACATCCTGAAGAAACAAATACTTGTTTTTCTGTCTGGGCCTTAATCAGAGCTATCACCTTTGGGTTTGGATACTTGACATTCTAATCTACTGTCAACAATTTCACCATAACCACGAACACAGACTTAAACAAATCCTTTATCATAACTTTCACACTCCAGTCTTTTTTCCTGTATCTAGGGTCAAAAATCAAAAGCCTGAGAGATCTGTATGTCCCAAACACATACATTTCATCTTTAGAGGGCACAGCTGTTAACTTTGTTTCCCCTTTTCACTCACTGTAATGACACAGAATATGGTCTTTTCTCTTTATTCTAGATGGAATGGGACGAGTCCTTGCTCAAGATGTTTATGCAAAAGATAATCTACCACCATTTCCAGCATCAGTAAAAGATGGTTACGCTGTCAGAGGTAAACACTCACTTTGTGGACATGTGGTATAGTGTCTGCTACTTTATAACATGTTAATTCACCTGTTTTGGATCCAGCAGAGGTTATTTTGGTTTAGATTTGATACACATCATTGCTGAGGTCACAGTGATATAAAATGCACTGTCTTGATGGAAGGCCACAAAGCCTTCCTCCAGCTCTTTTAAGTGGATGCTGGTGTACACAAGCAAATGTACATCCATGTGTGCTCCTAGATGTGCACCTCTGTTACTCATGCATTTCTTGGAAACATTTAAAATTCAGGACGATAACAAAACATCTGTTTCTGAATTATGGATTCATCTTCCATTCCTCTGTTGTAGATTTAATGAGGACTTTTTTATATATATTTTACGTTTTTGAACCGTTACAGATATTGATTACATCAGAGAATTTTCTAAGAACTTATCATAATGTTCTCTTATGGAGATGCCTCAAAAGAAGAGATTCTTACTTTAAAAAGACTGCAGCTGCCATATATGAATAAAATTAGTCATATGTCTGTGTTCATTTCAAGCAGCAAATATGATTTCCCAAGAAACCTGAATTTATGCTCTGCTTTGCCACTAGGTGCCACGTCACTTTGAGCCAGTTGCTTCTCTGTGCATCAGTTTTTCCCTTTGTAAAGCAAGAATAATGATGCTCACCTCATATGTCTATAAAGGAAATTTAAAATATACAGAATTGAACATTATACTAGTAGTGATTTAATCGTGGTAGTGATTGAATCATTATAACACCATGTTGAAATTTGTACAGCTAACTTTCTTCTAGGGACATTAAAATATCTTTTCTGTTACTGGTGGTTGAAACCATGGAAAGCAACTGCCCATGAAATAGACTGCCTGGAGACCCAGGCAAAAGATGTAACCCAGTAGCTTCCCCATACCTTCGATATAAAAGTAAAGTTTCAGGTCCACAAGATGGGTGTGCATGAGAGACAGGCAGACCAAAATGACTAGTAATTTGGTCTGGAAGAGCATATGTAGCCAGAGAAATGCAGGTAATGTAACACTGAGAAAAGCTGAGAGTGGGCTCTGAGTAGAATGCTGAGTGACAAGGGCCTTGGGATCAAGCCAATGCTGTCTTGCAACCTGATTGCTGCAGGGTAAGGCAAAGCACGAGTACAATCTCAGTAAACATGCAGAATGAGCAGAGTGATCATGAATGCCATTTTCAGCAACTTCTGTCAGAACCAACACACAAAGCCTAATTTTGGTGGTGAGTTCAAGCAGAGTAGCACTGAGATATTTGAATGCGTCCAGAGAATGACACTAGAGCTGGTGAAAGGGCTGGAAGGAATGTCCTATGAGGAGCAGCCGAGGATTTGGGTTTGTCTTGTTTGAGGAAAAGTATGTTGAGAGGTGACCTCATGACTCCCTACAGCTCTCTGTGGAGGGGGAGGGCACAGAGTGTCCAGTGACATTATGTGTGGAATCGTTGAAAGCTGTGCCAGAGAAGGTTTAGCTTTGACATCAGGAAATATTGCTTTACCAAGAGAGTGGGCAGACACTGGAACAGACTTCCTGGAGAGTGGGTTGATGCCCCAAGCTTGTCTCTGTGTCAAAGGCATTTGGACAATGCCTTTAATAATTTGCTTTACATTTTGGTTAGCCCTGAATTGATCAGGCAGTTCTTTTCTATTCTATAGTGTTTTGTTATATTCTTATTATTCTTCTGAACCTGTTATCTTAGGATATGGGGGAAAAAAAGCTTTTATGTAGAGATAATACTGACTATGTTAATGAATGGATACCTCTTACAAAAAATTAAGGATTAGCTTTCAGTGGCATAACATGTCTGCCCAAACTCCTGTTCTTTTCACATTTTATATCAGTTGTGTATCATCTATAAACATTGTCTCCATATTATTAGTAGTAGGGGAATAAAATCTAGTTAAGTAGCATTTTCAAGCATTTTAAATTATTTTAAGCCTGATGCAGTAGCATCAGGTTTAAAATAATTTATCTATTAGAGATTTCCTTCTCTTCTTTTACTGGACCATACAAGAGTATTTTTTTTTCAGTGCAGGTCCAACAACTCTTTTCAGTAGTATTGCATGCATTATTCAAGGATATCTAGTTGAAGACTCCTTTTCTACTTTTTTGAGTTCACTCTACAGCTCATAGATTAGTCTGTTTGATAGACTTTTAAAGCTAAATTAATTATTAGTTTTCAAACATGGCCAAGTACCATAGAGAATGCATGAGCCAATGCATGAGTACAAATGTGATAAATCATAGACTGAGTGGACATCCTTCCTGAAAGTAGTTCTTCTCCATACAAGGTTAGCTAGGTGTATATTCAGGGCTCCTGAAGTAAAACCCAAGTTATTAAAATAAAGGTTGTCACTGATTAGATTTCATCTCTAGGAAATCAACTTTTGACAGCTACAGATTTAAAATTAATAATAATGCAGATTGAAATGTGGTTTTTTGAGCCTAGTTTGTTGGAGCACTCTAGGCAACATGACTGCTGTGCTTGGAAAAGCAGAGCTCTTTGTGTTTTACACTTGCTTTACACCATGGTAAACCCTATAACACCACTAATACAACTTGCTGAAAGACCTTTGAGGCAAGCAGGAGTTTAAATATCATTAGTAATTTTGCCTTTGTTGTCCCTGTAAAAATGCAGATTTGCTAAATTGGAAGTCCTGAAGGCTTGTTAAATCAGTGATATCTGATTCCTAATTTTCAGTATTGCAATACTGTCATTAACACCCTTAAATCTTTGTTATTAATGTAATTCCTCCTAGTCTTCATTTACATGACCTCGTACAGCCCAGAAAATTTCAGTTAAAAATAATCTGTTTTCTAGAGTATTTTTTCTAGAGTATTTTTGTTTTTTAAAATAATAAACACAGCTCAAACAGACCTAAAAGGTAAAATGTTTGCAGAACTTCTATAACCTTAGTCATGCTAACACTGAAGGACTGAACTTTAGATCATCTTTGCTCTTCTCCTGTTCATTATTTATAACACCATAATTTTTTTTTGGTTGAGTGTTTACCATTTATGTTGTCCCTCTTAACAGCTGCTGATGGCCCAGGAGATCGATTCATCATAGGGGAATCCCAGGCTGGTGAGCAGGTGAGAACAATTTATTTTCTCATTTTTTAATGTATTTTTCTTCTGTAAGATTTTGCTTTGTATTTTTACAAGCCTTGCTAGTGCTCCAAAATCAGTAGTCTTGGATGTGGTGTGAAGTAGGACACAGCTGTACTGACCCCCCTCTATGTGCCTTGGGACATGATTTCAGAAAGTGAGGTAGTACAGTTACATAAGGAGCTAACAAGGATATCCCAAAATACTTCAGAGCATTGTGCTGACATGTCTGATAGGAGTGCATACAGTAACGTTCTGCCCTGGTCCAATGTTTGAGGACATGAGATTTCTAGTGGCACAACAATTCATAAGCAGAGAAAAGAATGATTTAACCTCCTCTTGCTGACAGATTTTTAGGATGTCAGCCCAATAACTGTTTTCATAAGATGCTTCCATTTTTCACACTGATAGCTGCAAAATGAAGTGTGTAAATTTTTTATTAAGCTTTTACAGATAGGTAGCAATCAGAACAATCTTGAGGAAGTGTGGCAGCAGCCTGATTTGAGGCTGGTTTGTGAGAAGAGTGTTTGTGCACCTTAGCTGATACACAGATTGTTTTTAAAAGCAAGTTGAGCTGTTTGTGACCTGCTGTGCTCTATAAATATTCATTAATAGATGCATTTTGTGATCTGTTCTCAAATTCAAGAGCATATTTCATTAAATTTCTGTACTCATACTGAGGTAATGGGAGAAAAAAATCAGTTATGTTCAACTACTGTTATTCCGTCCATTTAATCATACCTGGCAGCTGTGTTCAAGAAGCTGTGTTCATGAGTTAGTCCAAAATGTTTCTCCAGCTATTTCAAGTCCTGATTTATAATTCTGTGTATTGTATGTGAAATGATGGAGAAAGAGATAAGTAACAGGCAAAACAAGGAATCTATCAATTTTAATGAGGATTTTATAGTATGTCCATTTTGATTGCTAAACAAAAAAGTCCTAGTAAAATTGACATATTTCAAAAGTTGTATCAGGTTTGAGAAGTATTACTAGTTGCAAGATTATTCAATTTTTTTAAATTGACTGGAACTGTCTCTAAATGTGTAATAGACATTTAATTTGGCTAATTGTGATAGGAGGAACTGTAAAAAATTATTTTTGCTTCTGGTCCCATCCATCATTATGAATTATACTTGGGTATAATAGACATCTTCTCAGTACTGATATTCATGTGAACTTAGATTAATGGATCAGTTGCACAAAATATGTAAAATTACTTTAAATTCTTAAAAAAAAAAAAAAAAAAAAAAAAAAAAAAAAAAAAAAACAAAAAAAAAAAAAAAAAAAAAAACAAAAAACAAAAACACGGGGAAATCATAATTCTGGGGGTGAAAGCATTCCATAGGGTGAATCCATACATGTCCACTGCTGCTCCTTGGATCTGGCTAATTGTAAACCTGGAAGAAATTTGCTGTGATTAACTGAGGAGCTGGGATGGACTGGGAGGGAGCAGGCATGGGACCAGCGATTTGTTTGGAGAAGATAAACCAGNCCTTATATTTTTAGCCCTCCTGACTGCATTTTCAAGCATTGGTCCAGAATCCAAAAGATTCAATAACAACTATTTTTACAACCCTTTTTATGATCACTATAAGATAGCAAGAACCAGCAGAGCAACCTGCTGAATTTTCACTCCTATCACTATTCTCCTGTCATCAATATTATCATTTTGCTACTTAAATATCACAGCACAGTGTTGCTTAAAAGCAGTACTGTTGAAGTTGTCTCTAATGGGGAGTATTTCCCATTAGAGGTCTGAAGTGTTTCAGTGTCCTAATCAGTTCAGCAGGTTTGTACAAAAGATAAAAGGGCAAATGGAAGCTGCTTCCCTCCTACAAAGTTCAAGAGCTCACAAATGTCTCTCTACAGGGACAGTCTGTCCTCCCAGATTATGGGGAATAGGAAGGCTCTCTGGCAAGGAGAAAAATTGGGTGGGAAGCAGGCATGCAGGGAGAGACTATTTCTGAAAATACCAGTGGCAAGTTAGAAAAACAAGGCTGTTGACCTCAGAATAATTGGTCAAAGTTTTTTTGGGGGGCAAGCACATCTTCAGGTTCATCTCCTTCCCAATAAATTATTTATAGCCTTGGAAGGCTCCTCAGTCTCATTTCACCCTTCAGTCCCTCCCAGCAGCAACATTCTGCTTTTCATGTTACAGACCAATTAACAGAATGATTCACAGCAGGGAGTTCAAAATAGATTTAGATTTGGCTCCTCCTGTAGGGAAAAAGGTTGCATAAATGCTAGTAGCAAGGAAGAAGATGGTACTGAATTGCAGAGAGGCCATATAGCCAAGTTGGACATTTCTGTATCAATTTTTAATTTGTGTGTTTTCTGATTTTCATCTCCAGATGGTCATGTTTATGTTAACCCTTTTATTGTATATCAGGGAAAGCTTTCACACATTACCCTGCTTTGGGAAGGTTAGGGCACACTTGAGATTACTGGTCACGAGCCACCCACAATGGCCTGTGTGTAACACACTCAGCCATAGGAAAAATGGTTTTCCTTCTGTAGACTTACATAGACCATAGCATTTCCTGCAAGACTTCCTAAAGGTAAGAGGCACTGCAAATAACCAGCTACAATATTAGAATGAGAAGCAGGCATTTTCCATTATTCCATTAACTTGTGCCTTTTTACAGAAAGGAGCATGGATGATTCTAAATCACACAGGAGAGGTATAATCATGTGCAGGAGAAAATGCCTGAGATAGGAACTGTGCTTAGTAAATTATTTTTGGGTTTTATTCCGTGACTAAAATTGAGTAGGTTATCAGTAATGAAGGCAAAGGACAGAAACCAGTATTGCCCCATTGCAGGTAAAAGTGAGATCTCAAAGGCCTTTAGAAGAGCTTCTGTGAAATTTTTGCACATTAATATATTTTCTGAGAAGTAATCATTTCTTTATCTCCAAAAAATCTATCATAGAGGAACACAGCCCTGGAGATTCACAAATAAATCTGATGGTTGACTTTTGTTCATAAAGTTAATCTGATCAAATTCTCAGCAGACAAAAATGAAATTAAATATATGCGCAAGATAACCAGTTCTAAAAGCAATTGTATCATGAATTTGTTTAAATGTATCACATCATTGCATCTCAAAAAATTAATTCATCTCACAATGAATTCCAAAAACATGTTTAGTTACAGCACATTTTATCACCATAGGCTCTGATTTATGGCAGTAGTAGACATTTTGTATTCTCTGTGATGCATTTTAATAGGCAGAAATTTTTTATGCAATACATTTTTCCTTTGAAATTTGTCATTTAAGACAGCAATACTTAGTAAGTTCAAAATAATATTACCTGTTCGTAATCTTTAGATTATATCTACAATGGTATGCAAAATACATAATCCAAGGCATAAGCTTTGCCTTTTGTAATATTTCTTTTCATAAAAATCAAAATTACATAGTAGATAGCATTATTTTCCCTTTTATGCAGCTTTAGTATAAATGATAGTATTTCTGCTATCCATCCACAACTCCTTGAATAGTCTGTGGTGAGGAATAAATGCCATTTTCTTAAAAGTAGTTTTTTTAATGGCATCTGGTTTAGATACCTACATTATGATGGCATGAATCTTGCCCTAAAAATACACTAACTGTGACATATGGCAAGTGTGGGTTTTATTTATGTTCTTCTCCAAGGATATTAGATTTCCATTACCTGTAGAAAAGGGTTAAGTTTAAGTCAGTTCTAGGCTCAGTTCTTGGAATACAAAGGTCACTGTGATACTGTGGTAAGCCAGACAAAAAACATCCCCAGAGTTTTCCTAGGGCTTCTGTCCCCAGTGTGTGAAATACACTCATTTCAAAGTGGAACTCACCTTTCAGAGGTTATGACAGGGCTGAAGTGGAGTAGAAGAATGGGCAAGGCAAACAGCTTTATGCAGCTACAGTGCTGACCACTGGTCTAGAGTCTGGCTGTGTCTGTCATTCTCCTGACAAAAGTCATGGAGTAAATTCCTGCTGGGCAGGAGCAGGTAACAGTCATGAAAGGTACTGCGTGCAACCTGTGGGTTGCTGTCAAATGTGTGCTAATTACAGTTTGAGAAGTCCTGGATGTATTCCAGCACTGCATGGAGTACAGAGTCAATGTGCACATGAGTTCTACGTGTGACACGTACAGAATATGTAGCTCTGATCACAGCTGCATAGATCTCTCTGTAGCACATGTTCACTTATAACAGTGAAACCTAAATAAGCCAGACTTCCTACAGTGCTGGGAGGAGCCAGCAATGAAATCTCAGTCATTCATATCAGCATCTTCTAATTTCATTTTTTTAGGATTATTTTAGTTATTTATTTCTTAAATAGTTATGGTCAAATTACAGTTTTACTCTGGATTTTGACAAATGTTTATTAAAATAGTCTGCCTGGTGAGAAGTGTTATTAAAACCATATCATTTGTTTTATCTTGTTGTTCTGATATTTTTCTGTTCTTTGTACTGCTTCTGCTGAAACTTTTTAGTGTCCTGTGACTTTATAGATTTGTAGAATATTATCAATTTTAAGCTATTCTAAATTGACCCTCAATAGATATTCTCTGTGAACTAGTATTGAGCTGTCTCAGTGTTAGGAAATCTGCCTAAAAATTAAATAGTTGGCTACATTACTATTATATGTTGGTTTTTCATAAATAGTGTGCTGGTAAAACAAAACAGAACAAAAATCCAACCAAAGCAATTTCAGCCCTGGCAGCCAGAGTGCTCTGCAAAAATATTTATGTACTGGGAACTGCTAGTTTTTTGTTCATGGAAGTTTCCATCTAACAGTTAAATTTTTAAGCCAGTTATTTTTCTGTGCCAAATATTTTTTTGAGTATTAGTATATTCCTTCTTCTGAAAGTTGTTCATGTGATAGAAATATAAGAAGAAAAAAAATGAAGCCACCTAATATACGGCCATATAAATAAAACCAGGTGTGAATTGGAGTTTATTTTACCTCTTGATATTGCTCACAGTATATCAAGAGTGATGCTGAAAATATTAATTCTGGTCTTTTAGATAGATTACTTGCATAAAGTTCCAGTGGCTTGAATTTTTTCCAAAAAGAGATTAATTCTAATTTTTTATTTTTCAGCCAACTCAGACCGTGATGCCTGGTCAGGTAATGCGTGTTACAACTGGTGCTCCAATTCCATGTGGTGCTGATGCAGTGGTGCAAGTGGAAGATACAGAGCTCATCAGGGAATCAGATGATGTGAGTCACAAGTTTAAAAACACATTTTTCTTTTGTGTGCAGCAGTAAATGGCACATGATACAATCCTGTAAATATGAAAGGCAGTCATACAGAAAAGCTCTTCTGTAATCTCAGAAGTTTGAGGTTTTTTGCATCGGTTCCTAGTGGCAATTCTCACTTTTCCAGGCTGTGATAACAGTACCACACACCCTCCTGTTCTGACTGATTTTTCATCAGAATTGTTGAATGCTGACTCTAAAATGCTTGGGAGCATGATTTGAGTGAAAGGCAAATGCCTCTTGGAAATCAATGCCTACAGTCCTATTCAAATGCCTACTGTATTCACATTTTAAAACACAGGCTAGTGGAAATCTTACCAGATAAGAAGAGGAAATGGTTTTTTTTATTACATGTTGATCTCAGAATAATACAGAATTACTGTATTATTAGAATTAATTACATCAGAATTACTGCTGATATAATTAAATCTGAATATGATTTTCTGTGGGAAAGTGAACTGTTTTAAGTGCTGAAAAATCCATGGGATGACTTGGGTTCTTTTAAACTGTGCTATGAAGACAGTTCAGTATTATCAGAGTTGGTCTTGTTTCAGCAAAAGTGAATTTGGTGGATTTTGGAGAATACTTTTTTGTACAAATACCTTCCAATGAATCTGTTTAGAAAAAGAGGTTTTGTTGTGGAACAGGGGAAGTAAATGTTTTTTTAAACTACAACTAAGATTTTTTTAAAGACATTTGTGCTCCTTTAAAATGAACATTACTGAATTTAAGACCTCTGAAAACAAAGAAATTGATAAGGTGCATATTCCTCCAGAATAAACCTGATTTTGAACAGATTTTCCAGTCTGCTTTTAAATCATACTAGTGGAATACCCTACAAATACTGCAAATAAGAACACAGAAAGAAAACACAGAAAAAGAACCACAGGGGGAAAAAAAATGAATACTGTAGTACTAATTCTGTATGCACAGTTGTCTCAACATGGTGAAATATGCTTTTTATGAAGCAGAAGAGCTCTCTGTAGACAACTTTATTCCAAGAAGTCCATCTTAGACTTCCTTTATGTTGCTGTGTTTGCTTCTGTGATTTCAAGGCACAACCGTCATGTTTGCTGTCATCTGAGAGACTTCAAGGCAAGAAGTTGTCTCTTATTGACGCAACTTCCAAGTTCAGCTTTGGAATGAACTATGTTCTGTGCTCAAATCAGCCTTTGCTCTACTGCTGCTGTTCTGACAAGCTGTTCCACTTTGCCACAGCTCAGTGTCAGCATTGTGATTGCAGCCGGGCTGTGAGCAGGTGAATTCTAGCATTCAAAACTGATAAAGACTGCAAAAACTGAAACTCACTCTCAGTATCCTTCCTCTTGCCTTAATTTTATTAAATGCATATATTTTTACATCTGATGAACTCAGCAAGCTGTCTATGCTGTCCTTCTTCCTAGCAGGGAAATTATTGAAATTATCAATCCTGCTTTAAGGTTACAGGTGTATATGTATAGATTATATCTTCCTGCAAAATACACCATTGCCTTCACTGCTTTTTAACCATTCCATTAGCTTTACTGAGCAAGTTTTTTGTGGCCATTGCCCGTGTCATCTTGAGAGGACTACCACATTGCAAATGTGGTAGCACTACGTCCTAAGGTAAAACCAGAATTTTTTCCAGTCTAAGTTTAGATTAGTGCTACTGACAGGCTGGCACCATCTCAAATCTGAGTGTACATATCATCAACTCATTTGTATATATCATCAACCCAGGGCTTAAAATAAAATATTAATTATAGAGGTCATGTGCCATTTATTGGCATTGAATGAATCACCAAACTATTGATATTCTGCACAAGGAATTGCATCAGACTCTTCAGGCCACTGTGTCCTGTTCACAGTAAATAAAGAAGATGAATGAGCCCCTTTCTGATTCATACAAGGCTCTCAAGTAGGAGTATCCACTACAGGAATCTACATGAAAATCCTGAAACAGCAGCAGCACATAGCTTCTTTCTACCTTTCTGCTACTGTAATGGCCTACTGTCTACCACAGACTAATGGTTTGTTTGAAGTGCCATCTTTGAAATGGTTTAACCGGATCAAGTTGGCTGAGAGGAATAGAAAGAATTCACTCAGTATACTAGATCAATTATGTAAACAGGAAAGCTATATAAACACAGGTATCATAAAAAAAAAAAAAAAAAAAAAAAAAGGAAAGCTAAAGCCGAGGCTGTTTACAGTTTATTTCTGTATGCATACATTTATATATAATCATATATACTTTATATATCTGTTTCAGTTTTCTATTCATTTTTACCCTTACTGAGTAAACCCGAGAGCAGAGCCGCCCGCTCCTGCCTCTCCGCCTCGGTGCGCAGCGTGCCCGGGCCGGGGTCACC